CAGATCCCACAGGTTGAGGGCTCAGGACCACAAGAATTCCCCTGCTTCAGATGCCAGTCACAAGTAGATTGTCACCCATACTTCTGACTGACCAGCTATAAATTGGGGGCCCCTACAATCCCCTCCTTGGATTCAATGAACTTGCTAGAGCGTCTCACAGAACTCAGGGAAACACTTTACTCACATCAACTCATTAATTATTGAGGATATTACAAAGAATACAGATGAACAGCCAGCTGGAAGAGGTACATAGGGCAAGGCATGTGAGAAGGTGAGGGTGTAAAGCTGCCATGCCCTCTTTGAGCATGCCACCCTCAAGGAACCATATGTTCAGCTATAGGAAGCTCCCACATGCTATCCTTTTAACTTCTTATGGAAACTTCATAACATAGGCATGACTGATTACATTGGTCATTGGTGATCAACTCAACCTTGCAGCCTCTCTCCCAATTAGAGTTGGATGATTAGACCAACTCTAATCATCCCTTGGTCTTTCTGGTGACCATCCCCCATCCTGCTACCAGTTATCTCACTAGCATTCAAAAGCCACTCTTAAAATTTAAGAAATTTCAAAGATGAGATTTCAGAGTGAGACAAGGTCTCACTCTGTCACCCAGGCTAGAGTGCAGTGGTGTGATCATAGCTCACTACAGCCTCTACCTCCAAGGCTTAATCGTATTAACCCCATTTTATAAGTAAAAAAATTGAGTCAGAGAGGCTAAGTAACTTGTCCTTATCACAAACTAGGGAGTAGAGGAGGCAGAATTTATGCCTGGATAATATGACACCATAATATGAATTTATACTCTAAACTATGCCATGTAAACAAAGTTCGAGAGGTCATCGTTTGGACTAGCTTCCCTCACGAGGTCCCAAGAGACCAAACAAACCAGAATGAAGTCGTTCATATTAGGTGCCACATAATCAAACTAACCTCTGAAACAGGCCAGTTTTCCAAAAACGGAAGATTCCTAACAGCCAATCAGAAGGCATAGGAGTTTACCTAAGCTAGCATGATAGGGATGTTCCCTCTGTTTGTACACTGTAAGGAAGGAAACTTTGAACCGACCAATCTACTTTTTGTTCCATTTCTGCTTTCTTCTACCCTTTTCTGCCTGTGAAGCTAACTCCTCTGCACGGCTCATCTGAACACTCATTCTATTTTATAAAATGAGGTGTTTGATTCTGGAATCACAAATAAAAGCCAATTTGAACTTTAAGCTAAACTTGCTGTAACTGTATCTTTTGACAGCCATGTGCTCCCATATTATTAAATGTATTACTGAAAGAATCCAAGAACAAAATAATTAGGGTTGAACTAGTAATTCGTAGTAAAAAGGAAATGCAAAGGAGGGAAATGAAGCTTAACAATTTAATGTTTATTAGATAAATAGGAATGGGAAAAAGTAAAAAGTGAGTAAGTGTCGGGAGTGATTAATAATACCACAGATAGAAACAGGGGAATCACAGGTGAATCCAGAGGGGAAAGATGAGTAATAAAAATTTCATATGTGTTGCATTTGGGAAGATGAAAAGACATCTATGTTGAAATGCTAGAATATAGCTAAGGTAGATATTAGAAACTCAGGAGAGAGGTAAGGATTGGAAATACAGATTTTGAAATTACCCAACATAAAATGGATAGTAGAAGCAACAAAACCATTAAGCTCTCCAAGTTTAAAAAAAAAAAAAAAAAGGAAAGGAAAGGTTTAATACATGGGGTACAGCAATAGTTAAGAGGCAGAAAAGAGGTGGGAAGAGAGCCAGGACAGGGTACTCTCAGATACCACACAGGCTGCCTTCTCCTTTCATTCTGTACTCTCTCCCTGGAAGACCTTGCTCTTTACCCTTTACTTAAACCACATCGACCTATATGCAAATGAATCATACATCCATATCACCAGGCCATATGTTTCATCTAAGTTAAATGCTCAAATTTCAAACTACCTACTTTTATCTCCACCTGGATGCCCACAGTGTATCTCAAATTCTACATGCCCAAAATCTAACTCTGCCTCTCAAAACACATTTTTCTTCCTGTATCTCAGAAAACAGAATCTAGCTGCACAAACAGGAATCCTATGAATAATCCATGACCTGCCTCTCTTTCACATCCCAACCCCAGTCAGTCCATTTCAAATTATCATGAGTTTTAGCAACTATCTCTGTCCCTTTCTTGTAATCTCTGGCTATCATCTTCCTAGCCTAAGCTACCACAGTCTTCCACCTGGAATAATGCAACTATCTCCCACTTAAACATCACATATAATCTTGCCCTCTTCAAATCCATTCTCCTCAGTGCAGTCAACAAATAATTTCAAATGCAAATCTGAATATGTTGCATAACATGCCCCAACCCTGCTTGAAACACTTCAGTTTCTACAGCTCTTAGGGTAACTATCAAATCTCTTGCCTTGGCCTACAGGACCTGCATGATTTGACCCTTGCCTATCTCTCACTCTCATCTCTACCATTATTTTCTTTGCTGGTCTTTCAGTTTCTTGACTCTTCCATCCTCATAAACCTTTGAATATGCTTTTCCCACTACCTAGGAAACTCTTTTCACCCTCATCACTTCCCTCCACTTCCTTTCACCTACTTATCCTTCAATTCTTGGTTCGGTGACACTATGCCAAATCTCCCTATTATTAGATGTTCTCATTGAACTATTTGCCTCTCCTTAGCATTGAACACAACTATTTATAATACAGTTGTCCCTTGAATAACATAAGTTTGAACTTCACAGGTTCACTTATACGTGAATTATTTTCAACAACAGGAAATTGAAAATACAGTATTTGAGGGATGTGAAACCCAGGTATACAGAGAGCCAACTTTTCTTTTTCTCCTTTTTTTCTTTTGAGACTAAGTTTTGCTCTTGTTGCCCAGTCTGGAGTGCAATGGTGTGCTCACTGCAACCTCCACTTCCCAGGTTCAAGCAATTCTCCTGCCTCAGCCTCCTGAGAGGTTGGGATTTACAGGCATGTGCCACCATGCTCAGCTAATTTTGTATTTTTTTTTTTTTTAAGTAGAGATGCAGTTTCTCCATGTTGGTCAGGCTGGTCTTGAACTCCCGACCTCAGGTGATCCACCCACCTCAGCCTCCCAAAGTGCTGGGATTACAGGTATGAGCCACCGTGCCTGGCTCCAACTCTTCACATAAGTAAGTTCTGCAGGTCTAACTTTAGGATTTAAGTATGCATGGATTTTTGGTATACACAGGGACCCTGAAACCAATACCCAGATTATACTGAGGAATGACTGTAATTTGTGATTGTTTGATCGATGTCAATTTCTCCTATCAGTCCAAAAGCAGAAATTGTATCTTTTTATTCACTATTGAATCACCAAGACACAGCACATTACATACAACGGGTGTTCATTAAATATTTGCAGAATTTATTACCAAAGACTTTTAAGAAGCAAAAAAGAATGAGGACTGAGCAAGACAATTGGAGCTATCAAGATCAGTGATGACCTCTGAAAGTACAGTTTGAATATACTGATGAGGGTAAAATCCAGAATACAGGGACTTAAGGAGCAACTGAGCAAAGAATATAGGGGAGAGAAGATGGACAGGTGGCTGACAGCAGGGAGCAACGATGTTAAGGGAAAGCTGTTTATTTTCATTTTGTTATTCTTTATGCCATTATTGTTCTGCCTCCAACACTGAGAAGACTTAAACAGAGAAGAATTGAAAATATTAGAGACAGGATGTAACTAGTCAGATTAAGGGAGGGCTATAGTTGAAGAAGTTTGTCTGAAAATGTCAGCAAAGAGGTGAGGTAAGCAAAGATATCATAAAGGAGTGATTAACCTGGCTGGGCACAGTGGCTCACGCCTCTAATTCCAGCACGTTGGGAGGCCAAGGCCGGCAGATCACCTGAGGTTAGGAGTTCGAGACCAGCCTGGCCAAATGGTGAAACTCTGTCTCTCTACTAAAGACACAAAAATTAGCCAGGTGTGGTGGCACATGCCTATAATCCCAGCTACCCAGGAGGCTGAGGCAGGAGAATCGCTGGAACTTGGGAGGCCGAGGCTGCAGTGAGCAGAGATCGCACCATTGTACTCCAGCCTGGGCAACAAGAGCGAGAGTCCATCTCAAAAAAAAAAAAAAAAAAAAAGCAGCTGTTAACTTAAACATAATGATATAACCAGTTGAAAGGAGTATTAGAGTTCATAAAGAAGTTGACAGGTTGGTAAACCAACAACACTTAATTAGGGAAAGCATACGGAAGAGAGCTGTGTTGCAACCAAAAGGTAAGGACGCCATGCTAAACTACACCGCTTAGACATAATCAGCAAAATCCAGATTATGGGAGCCTGTACAGGACCAATAACCTGGTTCCTTCAACAAATAAATAGCAAGGAAAAAAATAAAGAATGACTTTAAAGAATAAAAAAAAACTTAAAGGACATATCATAACGTGGATTTCACTGGATCTTGATCCAGGTAAGCAAACTAAAAAATAAATAATTTTTTGAAAAGACAAATAGAAAATTGAATTCTGGATATTTGATGATAGTAAGAAAATATATTAAGTACTTCAGGTGTGGTAATAGTATTATGGTTATGCTTTTAAAAGATCCTTTAATTTTTCAGAAATCATACTGAAATATTTAGATTTCAGATACCTGGTATTTGCTTCAAAATAATACAAGACAAGGTAAGTGGTTAGTGATACCAAAGCAACAAGATTGGTCATAAGCAATAATCATCATCATCATTGCCGAAGCTGGGTATTGAGCTCACTGGACTTCATTACGTATGGTTTTTTTTAAATTTGAAATTTTCCATAAGATGAAATTTGGTTTGCAGAGTAGGATTTTCTTCTGTGAAGTTTATTGTTTAAGGTTTGACCTGGGTTCAGTAGATTTCTGGGAACCATGGGCATTATTAAATGAAATCTAAGCAAAACTGGAGAACTAAGTAATCCACCAAAAAAAACAGGGTTGAATAGAACACAAGATACCACTTGAAATATGAAATATGTAGGAGTGGTTTTGGTTTTGGAGACCGTGACCGAGCTGTTTGAGTTTGACTGAGGGGTGGAGAACGTTTGTCAGGGGCCCGGCCAAGAAAGGTCCGCAAGATTCCCGATGGTGTCCATGACTTTCAAGCGGAGCTGCAGCGACCGGTTCTACAGCACCCGGTGCTGCGGCTGTTGCCATGTCCGCACCGGGACCATCATCCTGGGGACCTGGTACATGGTGGTAAACCTATTGATGGCAATTTTGCTGACTGTGGAAGTGACTCATCCAAACTCCATGCCAGCTGTCAACATTCAGTATGAAGTCATCGGTAATTACTATTCATCTGAGAGAATGGCTGATAATGCCTGTGTTCTTTTTGCTGTCTCTGTTCTTATGTTTATAATCAGTTCAATGCTGGTTTATGGAGCAATTTCTTATCAAGTGGGCTGGCTGATTCCATTCTTCTGTTACCAGCTTTTTGACTTCGTCCTCAGTTGCCTGGTTGCTATTAGTTCTCTCACCTATTTGCCGAGAATCAAAGAATATCTGGATCAGTTGCCTGATTTTCCCTACAAAGATGACCTCCTGGCCTTGGACTCCAGCTGCCTCCTGTTCATTGTTCTTGTGTTCTTTGCCTTATTCATCATTTTTAAGGCTTATCTAATCAACTGTGTTTGGAACTGCTATAAATACATCAACAACCGAAACATGCCAGAGATTGCTGTGTATTCTGCCTTTGAAGCGCCTCCTCAGTATGTTTTGCCAACTTATGAAATGGCCGTGAAAATGCCTGAAAAAGAACCACCACCTCCTTACTTACCTGCCTGAAGAAATTCTGCCTTTGACAATAAATCCTATACCAGCTAAAAAAAAAAAAAAAAGAAATATGTAGGAGTAGGTCCTTCAAGTTGCTATCTATTAAAGGTTTTCAAAGATCAAAATTTAATATAAAGGATAACAAGAAACTAATTGGAGCTGCGTGTGGTGGCTCATGCCAGTAATCCTAGCACTTCAGGAAGCCGAGTCTGGTTGATCACTTGAGGTCAGGAGTTTGAAACCAGCCTGGCCAACATGATGAAACCCTGTCTCTACTAAACATACAAAAATCATCTGGATTTGGTGGCACACGCCTGTAGTCCTCACTACTCAGGAGGCTGAGGCAGCTGAGGCATGAAAATCCCTTGAATCTGGAAAGTGGAGTTTGCAGTGAGCCAAGATCATGCTGCTGCACCCCAGACTAGGCTACAGAGTGAGACTCTGTCTCAAAAAAAAAAGAAAAGAAAAGAAAAATAAACTAATTGGGGCATCCATAAGGAGTATGCTGATGGTCCAAGCTGGAAGAAAAATGATTCCATCTACTCTTTGGTTTTTAAGTCAGATTGGAGATTCAAAGCCAAAGAAAAAGTCATGCAGGTGTAAGATAAAACCTGAGCATACTATATTTGCTCCTAAGAAAACAATATGTGCACTAGAGCAAAGGTCCCCAACCCCCAGGGCACAGAGGAGTAGCTAGGAACCAGGCTGCGCAGCAAGTGGTGAATGGCAGGAGCTTCATGCGTTTTAACAGCCATTTCCCATTTGGCATTACCGCCTAAGCTCTGCCTTCTGTCAGATGAACAGGGGCATTAGAGTCTCATAGAAGCGTAAACCCTACTGTGAACTGCACAAGCCAGGGATCTAGATTGCATGCCTATGAGAATCTAATGCCTGATGATCTGTCACTGTCTCCCATCACCCCCAGATGGAACCGTCTAGTTGCAGAAAAGCTCAGAACTCCCACAGATTCCACATTATGGTGAGTTGCATAATTATTTCATTATATGTTTCAATGTAATAATAATATAAAGTGCACAATAAATGTAATCTGCTTGAATCATCCCAGAATCATACCCCCTCTCTGAGCCATGGAAAAATTGTCTCCCATGAAACCAGTCTCTAGTGCCAAAAAGGTTAGGGACCACTGCACTAAAGGAGTATTATGATATTCCAGATGTAGGGGCAGTCACTCAAATCTCCACAACCTACTTCTGTCATCTTCCCTCCTTTGTTCATTCCATTTTCATCCTCCTACAAACTCAAAGTGCCTTAGAGCACAAAGGCCCCAAGGCAAAGGGGGAAGCCTAAGGGATAATACAAGTGTTTGAGGAAAAGGATTAAACATTTCTCCTCTCCCACTGAATCCTGGATTTAAGAAACGGTTTAAATTGAACTTGACAACTAGCACCTGCTAGTTTGTTTAAGGTGGAAAACGCAATGCTCAGGACTCAGGACCAGTTGAGATGTTTGCGACTAGAATATCGAACTCTGGGGGCCTCTCCTCTTGCTTTTCCAGATCTCATCCTCAGCAATCCCCAAGTACTAGACCTTTTTTTTAATTAAAAAAAAAAAAAGGGTAGAGATGCAAAAAATAAAAAGTTAAAACGTCAAGTAAAAAAAAAAACAAAAACAAATAGTGGCCGGACGCGGTGGCTCATGCCTGTAATCCCAGCACTTTGGGAGGCGGGGTGGCAGGGGAAGAATGGCCAACATAATGAAACCGCGTCTCTACTAAAAACACAAAATTAGCTGGGCGCGGTGGTGCGTGCCTGTAGTCCCAGCTACTCGGGAGGCTGAGGCAGGAGAATTGCTTGAACCCGGGAGCCGGAGGTTGCAGTGAGCAGAGATCACACCACCAAACTCCAGGCTGGGCGACAAGAGCGAAACCCCGTCTTGAAAAAAAAAAAAAATATTTAGAGTAACACCATGTGAAGGAGACAGGCACATTCCAAAGGAAAACAGTAAATGCATGCTGCAGCAGTTAGAGTAATGTGGGAGGAGCGGTGGAGACGCAGCCACGGGCAACACCAGAGCCCTGCACACCATGCAGAGGAAAGGAGGCGCTCAGTGCGCCCAGGTTTCATCAGAGGCCATTCTGTCAGGCTCCAGGGGCATGACTTGCCTGTGCCCTGTTCGAACCGTGCCCTGAGCACCTTCCCCTCCCGGCACCATCCGTCCCTCAGCAGCCAGAAGTTTATAAGAGCGGAGGCTGATTCCAGTGAGGCAGCAGAACTTTAAGAGGCCTCTCCCAAAAGCCAGCTACGTCGCCGTTAGCCAAGGTTTCTCTTCAAGGACCTAACTCCCCTCCAGACTTACTATACCAGAAGCGTCGCAATAGCGACTGCTGCCTGCGCGCCTCAGCGAGGCGGGTGAGGACTTTTTTAAGGACGCACTGGAAATCCCGGGCACGCTCCCGCCTGTGGAGAAGGCCAAGAAAAAACGTGCGCCAATCAGGATGCAGACTTGGAGCACGTTTACCGTCAGGACCAATAAGAGGGAAGGTGGGCGGGACCAAGGCTGCGGTTTCGCTCTTGGGATTTAAACCTCAACGGCCGGCGGTGAACAGCAGGTTCGGCGCGTGGGCGGGCAGTGCCCCTGCGCAAACTGCGGGAACGCTAGCGGAACCTGCATGCTTCGCTGGTGACTGCCAGGACGCGGTGCGGGGAGCGGGCTTCGGCGACGCGGGTAAGCTGGGTGAAGGTCGGAAGCGGCGGGTCCTGGGGCCCTGGGGCTGCGGGCCCGCTGCCGCAGGAACCCTCGCTCCTTTCCCGCTGTCGGGACGGTGCAGAGCGGTAGCTTCCCTCCAGGTTTGCAGGTCCTGCCGGACGAGCCGTCCCGAACCTCTGCGTTCCTGAGGAAGGCAGCCGGGGCGGCGTGAGCTGCAGGCGCTGTGCGCGACGGGCCGCGGCTCCTGGAGGTCACGGAGTGTGCTAGCCGCCGCTGCCGCCGCCTTTACGCCGGTGGTGGCGCTGAGCTCCTGGGCCGCGCCCGTGAGACCAGCGGAGGCCAGGGACGGCCCCCTGGCAGGAGCGCAGTCCCGGAGGCCGCTGGCTACCCGGGTCTTAGTCGCGCCCGCGGCCAGGCGGGGCGACTGCGAGCTTTGCCGTTGAGAGGCGGAGCGTGTCTTCTCGCCTTCTGGCTGCACCTTTTGTGGACTGCCTGATGGAACTGTGCAAGGTGTTTGCCCACCCTAAAATGGAAATAAACCTTTTTTTATTCCAAAAAGTATGAAGTCTCACTAAGCATGCAAAGAAACATTAAGGTACCGTTTTAGATTGGTAGGATGTTTCATTACCCAGTGCTGGTGAGAGGTAAAGAAATGAAAGCAAGCACCCTCTGCCCTGTGTATTGGGAATAATCCGTTTTTCTAGACGGCAGTTTAGCATTATAAATCAATTAAAATTGTACCATAACTTCTAAGTCATAATCCACTTCCAGGAATATATTCCAAGGACATAAATCGGACAAGAATGCAAAAATAATATGTACATGTTTTTAGAAATCCGAGCAACATTTAGTACGGATAAAGAAAAAAGAAAATACTCGAAATTCCAGCAGCCACAGATAACGATGAAATAAAATACTGTTCACATTTAGGTTTACTTCAGATATAATCATAATGAATATATACCTTATATTTACATGATTTCCTTATAAAATGTATTTTGAATTTTATGTTATGAATATAATAATGTTAATTTAAAAGAATGTAAAGGAGATCATGCATTATTGAGTCAGTAATAAATTGGGAATACATTTCTCTGTCAGTGTCGATATGCATTACCGTTTTTAATGGGTGCATGGCGTTTCTTGCTATGGCTGTAATATTGTATCACATATTACTTAACCAATCCCCTACTATTGTACATTTGTTTCCAGTCTCTTCATAAAATTATAAAACAGTATGGTAGTGGTCACTTGTATGTATACATGTTTGCATTCTTGTCCAATTTATGTCCTTGGAATAAATTCCTGGAAGTGGATTATGACTTAGAAGTTGTGGTACGGTTTAAATTCTAATTCATAATGCCAAACTGGGCCAGGCACGGTGGCTCACGCCTTTAACTACAGCACTTTGGGAAGCTGAGGCGGGCCGATCACTTGAGATCATGATTTTGAAACAAATCTGGCCAGCATGGTGAAACCCCATCTCTACTAAAGATAAAAAAATAATTGGGCCGGGCGCGGTGGCTCAAGCCTGTAATCCCAGCACTTTGGGAGGCCGAGGCGGGTGGATCATGAGGTCCATAGATCGAGACCATCCTGGTCAACATGGTGAAACCCCGTCTCTACTAAAAATACAAAAAATTAGCTGGGCATGGTGGTGTGTGCCTGTAATCCCAGCTACTCAGGAGGCTGAGGCAGGAGAATTGCCTGAACCCAGGAGGCGGAGGTTGCGGTGAGCCGAGATCGCTCCATTGCACTCCAGCCTGGGTAACAAGAGCGAAACTCCGTCTCAAAAAAATAAAAAAAAATAAAAAAAAAAATAATTAGCTGGGTGTGGTGGCCCTTCTACCCTTGAAATCCATTTGATTGTAACCAGCTAAACCTAAGACTCTGAGTCACTAAGATTTTTGAAGAGAAGATATTGTTAGATATTTTGGTCATTGTTGTCTGTGTACAAAATACAGGTTGCTCTAGCTTTTATGTGAAAGCTCCTCTAAAGAGAAAGGATTGTTCGGTCTTTTATATTCGAATTTTATATTATATTATAAAAGTAATATATTACTTTTATATTACCTGTGGACTTTATTAAAGTTTGTATTTTATTTACTGTTTGGAAACATCATCTTCATAGGTTAAAGGAAAAAGGAGTATGACAAAGTTTAAATGCAGAGGAAATAATACATTAATCACTGTAGAGTAGGACACATCACATTTAGGAAAAAAAAAACAAAAAACAACTCTTTTGGCTTTACTGCCAAAAATCTTCCTGGCCTAAACAGAGTCTCTCAAATTGTTATTCATGTATAGATACATATAAAAAGTACCATTTAAATTTCACAACCTATTGAAATAGTTCCTTTCTTCTAACATTTATTAATTCCCTACCATGGGTCAGAGACTGTGGAATTTGTACAAATGCTACCTAAGAGAACAAGTAATTTTGCAAAGTTGCATTTGGGGGCTTCTTATTTGTTACACCTGTGATAATTGTCTTTACTTTTTCTATGGCAACTACCAAAAATGCAGTCACTAAATCCTTACTCTTCTAGATTGGATAGTATATCTAGACAACCTTGAAAGGATTTTACTTGAGATTTAAGACCCTGATCCTCTGATTCCTTTGCTTCTACACAGTCTCCTAACAATGACTTTTGGTTAGTGCTTTTTGTTCCATGTATCACTGCTTTAGAGTTAATTTTTTTAACTGTATTCTTCTTTTCTAGGTTTTTTTTTTAACTTGAATGCAAATACCAATCAAGGCACATTGAAACAAGGTAAGAAATTGACCAAAAAAAAAACCAACTTTGGTTTGCACTTACATTATTCCACTGGGCTCATCGATTACATGAAAAAGAGGATCTTTAAATCAAAATTAAAGGACAAAGTAATTATATTTTAAGAATACTCAGGGCATAGTGAATTGTTGATAGACTAGGTGATAATGATTCAGATCCAGAAGACTTGGATGATAAAATGGGCAATTTTGAATAAATCTTAAGTAATTTTCTACCACTATTTCCCTATTTCTAAAATGGGGATATTTTCTGGTTCCCTCTCTGCTAGGATATAAAAGCTATTATAATGTACTTTTCAATACTACAAGTTCACCTCACCTTTTGTATGCTATTTTACTTCCTAAATTTGGAACTCTTTCAGTGAAGTCTTATTCTGTGGTCTACCCTCTGCTGGGCTTCTGTAACAATTATGCAGCATTAGTTTATGATTTATATTTATTAGTACTGTTTTTTTTTTTTTAAACGGAGTTTTGCTCTTGTTACCCAGGCTGGAGTGCAATGGCGCGATCTCGGCTCACCGCAACCTCTGCCTCCTGGGTTCGAGCAATTCTCCTGCCTCAGACTCCTGAGTAGCTGGGATTACAGGCACGCGCCCCCATGCCCAGCTAATTTTTTGTACTTTTAGTAGAGACAGGGGTTTCACCATGTTGACCAGGATGGTCTCGATCTCTTGACCTTGTGATCCACCCGCCTCGGCCTCCCAAAGTGCTGGGATTATAGGCGTGAGCCACCACGCCCGGCCCATTAGTACTGTTTTTAATTGTCCCATGTATTATTTGCACTAGCAGCTGGAGGATAGAAAACATTTGTATACCTGGAGTCTTGAACATGGGTAGGAAAAAACTTAATTGTTGGTTGGTAAGTAAAACTTTGGATCTCATAAACATGGCAGAATTATAAATTAGAGGATCAGGGTCTGAGATCTTAAGTAAAATATTTTTGGCTGGGCACAGTGGCTCACGCCTGTAATCCCAACTCTTTGGGCAAATCATGAGGTCAGGAGTTCAAGACCAGCCTGGCCAACATGGTGAAACCCTGTCTCTACTAAAATTACAAAAACTTAGCTGAGCATAGTGGTGGGCACCTGTAATCCCAGCTCCTTAGGAGGCTGAGGCAGGAGAATCGCTTGAACCTGTGGAGGTTGCAGTGAGCCAAGATTGTGCCAACTGCACTCAAGCCCAGGCGACAGAGTGAGACTCCATCTAAAAACAAAACAAAAAAAAGATCCTTTCAAGGTTGTCTAGATTATACTATCCAATCTAGAAGAGTAAGGATTTAGTGACTGCATTTTTGGTAGTTACCATAAGTCAAGACAGTCATCACAGGTAGAACAAACAAGACTTCAAATGTGAGTTTGCAAAATTATTCATTCTCTGAGGTAGCATTTGTACAAATTCTAAATGTGGAGAACACTCACTGCAGTAATGAAAATTATTATTGAGGAAGAAGGTCTGAGTTCAAACTTGGTTGTTTATTATTTTTATGGTTACAAAGGATAATGTATTTAAGACAACTTTGAGTTCTTTTGAATAAATACTGGTGTTCACAAGTAATATTTTGAGGGTTACTTATTAACTTTGCTTTGAGAACAAGCAAAGCCCCATCTCATTTTCCTATCTCAGTGTGTGGTACTACCGGCCACTCATGTTTCTCACATCTAAAAAGGAGTTATCTAGAAAGCCTCCCTACTTTTGAACAGCATATCTATTCACTGAATCCTGTCGTTTCTACTTTCTTAATCTTAAATTCATCTACTTCTCTCCGTTTGCCTTTGAGTATCTTCTAGGCCACTGCCATCATCTATTGCCTCCCTATTGGTCACAATGCCTCCAATCTTGCCCTCTTCACATCCACAGAATACCTAGAGTAATATTTTTGCCACGCAATTCTATAGGGCATGTAAATTTGTTCAGTGGCCCTGCAAAATAAAATCTAAGCCCCTTAAACAATGCCTTTGCTCTAATGTGACTTTTGCTTAACCTTTTTAAACTATGTTCTTGTCACTCTCAAACCATACCAAGGGATTCACAGTTGCCTGAATGCATACGCTGTCCTCTATAATTCTTTACACAAACTGGGTCTTCTACCTTAGACATCCTTAAAGTGGTTCTTTATCTTTATTTTAACTGGCTCCCATTTGTTCTGCAAGATTTAGCTTTAATATCTCCTCTGTAAGAACTTGCCTGTAACCACTAGCCCAGGACTTGGCAGACATCATGGTCCATGAACTAAGAGTGCTTTTTACATTTGTAAAGGATTGTAAAAATATGTACCCAATAGAGGCCATTTGTGGCTCACAGAGCCTAAAATCCTTCACAGAAAACATTTACCAGCCTCTGCACTAGATTTATGTGCTTTTTAAGATAAGGTACTATGCTTTATTCAGTTTGTTAACTTCCAGGTAGGTAACTTCATGCCTGGCATTAGACCAATTTATCCAATCTTTAATTAACTGAATATTCTTAAATTCTATCCTAGAAAATAAGATACTCAGGAGAAACACTTTATGAAAACTCAGATGAGTAGTGAATATCTCATCTGCCTTGAGGGGAAAAAACACAACTAGATACTTGCAGGATTAGGGTTTAATGAAGTTTAATACAAGGCACAGGTTTCCAGGTATACATAAACATATCTCCATTTTACAACTGCTTTTTGCTTCTTTAATCTCTTAATCCTTTTGGACAGGGATAAGAGAATATTTGAACTTTCTTATTAAAGCAGTAACTTCCTTAATAGGGCTTTAGTCTTTCTGCGTTTTTTTTTAAGAGCTGATAATCTGAATTCCTAGTACTTGCAAGTAAATTATTTTTCCCTTTTCTGTCCACCTACCATTATCCTAGATCCTGGCAAATTGTCTGTGGTTAAATGATGCTTTTACTTTCTGGGTCCACACAGACCCTCTTTGTTGGTGTCTCCAAATTAGTATTCTCTTCCTCTAGTGTGTCATTACAGTCCCTTTTGGCTTTTGTTTCTTCCTCATGGAATAAAAGTGGGTGCTCAATCCGTCCCCTACGTACAAAATGCTGGATCCGGGATTCCAATCCTTGACATTTAGGACGGTCCATGAGGGGCTTATATGTGCGCATCTTCACTCCTTCTACAAAAGCACTGGTCTGCTTTATGACAGAGGGCTTAACATTTCTCCATTCTGTCATTCCATCCATCTTTGGTCCTCCTCCACAGGGTATTGCAACAGAGTCCAGTCCTTGTAGCATACTATACAACATGTGAGTTTTGACAGCATGATTAGCCCACAGTTGTTGTAGATGGGTAATATTGAACTCCTGAGCCTCCTGGTCATAAATCCACTCAACATTTTCAAACTTACAGTCATATAACACTAGAGGAAATTCTACAGCCATACTAGAGAAAAAGAGAATAGAAAGAGTTTGAGAATACATATCAGCCATCTAACAGTTCCTTAAAAACTAAGAGTTAATTGGGTTAAGGGAACTGGGTAGGGGGCCACAGTTGATGTTAATAATTGACTATCTAATAGCTAAGAAAATATCCCACCATCCCTAATCTTGAACAGCTTTCTTACAGTAATGAAAAATGCAACAAACATAGATGAACCTGATCTATATTAGTTAAACGTCAGTGCTAACAAGACAGCTCTAAGTGAGTTGACATGGCTCTATCGTGCTGCTATAAAATTTAAAAATAGCTGATATTTTTTTCCAGATTTGTTAATGGCATTGTAATTTTGCTCAGTATGAGTAAAATTATTGGTATCTATCTCAGCCTGTTCTCAAAAGAAAAATCTTGACTATTGTTTCTTTCCTACCATTTCAGAAATAGAAAATTAGGAAAAATTCAAAAGTACAATAGGATGACTACTCAGTGATAGAAAACCAGCCAGATTTAATACGAATAGCTTATTCACGTTTCAATTTTACCACATCCTAACAATAATACCTCTTAACATAAATTCAGAAACAACAAAGATGTAGAAATGAATGTCCTTTTACTTAAGGAGCCTGGTCAAAACACCTGCCTCTTTTCTCATGGGATAGAACAATGAGAGGAAAGTAGAAGATACTACTCTCTCTTACATGTTCATAACATTCTACAATTCAGATTCATGAAGGCAAAATCAGTGACTTAATTATTAAGATAATCATGGGGGAGAGAAGGATATGCTATTTCTTTCTTTCTTTTTTTTCTTTTTTTTTTTGAGACAGAGTTTCCCTCTGTCACCCAGGCTGGAGTGCAGTGGCCCAATCTCAGCTCACTACAACCTCTGCCACCCAGGTTCAATTGATTCTTGTGCCTCAGCCTCCTGAGTATCTGGGATCACAGGCATGCACCATTTATTTTTTAACTCACCTATATTGAGGCTTCTGAGGATTTTTCTCTATATTCAGCAGTTCATCAATAATCTCTGGCTTCTCCATTCCTTGGCCAATCAGAAAGAGGATAGCCATCATACATCGGACTTGATGATAAAGGAATGCCTGGCCAGTCACTTCAAATTGACATAACTGAAAAGGTACTTGCCATCTCTCCTCATCTGGGCTCTGGCCCACTGGCTGTACTTGAGCAGACAGAATAGTCCTTTGAAAATTAATCACACCATTGGCTACATCCATTTTACACAAGTTCCTGAAATCATGGGTACCAACATACTTCTGAGCTGCATAATCCATGGTTACAATATCTAAATCAGCACGAGGGAAAAAATAGCGGTAAGTCCGCTCAAGACAGCTGAACCTAGCACTGAAGCTCGGTTCTACAGGGGCCCAGGCCAATATACGGATGTCTGGAGGGAGCACCCGATTGAGAATGTGGGTATAACGGATCTCTTCAGCAGCTTCCTCTTTTACATTAAAGTCCTCAGAATCCCTGCGCCTTGGAAACTGAGAGCGAAGGTCAAGTGAAATCACCTGTGGAGTTAAAGCAAGATACTGGGCTTCAGAGACACAAATAATCTCAGTACTCAGTGTGTATACCTAGAATATCCTGGTATTGCTTGGAGAAACAGTGTATTGACTCTTACCTGTCCAAAGGCACTAACTCCTTTGTCTGTTCTCCCACATCGGTGATAGTTGGATGTCTGTCTGCTTTCTACTAGTCGAGTCTTGGTTAGAGCCTCAAACAGTTTCTCTTCAATGGTATTATTAGTGTTTTCCTGACTAGCAAAGCCCTGGTATCCCCAGCCCATATAGGCTATTTTTAGGGCTACATGTCTTCGGCCATGAGTACTGAAATCAAATGCACGCTTAGTTTTTCCAGCTCCTGAATTTTCTCTAATGTTTGAGTCCTCCTTATTTTTGGCCTGTTCCTTTTTAAGTCTTTGCACCTCATGCTCCAGTTCTTGTACTCTTCTTAGGAGTTTCTCAGTCTGGTTTCTGTCTGCATCATTATCAGCCATGATACGACAACCTCAGGAATAAACGAATCAAACAGGTGTGCCCTATCTGAAAAGAGAGCAAAGGGATACAACAGTTTCAGTGCTAGTTCCTTTGATGATGTTCATATGGTATCTAACATCTAATTTAATGCCCAGAGAATATACTTTTGCTTTTCCAGGGATACGAGCATTAGCTTTATTGTGGGTTGATCATCCACAGGTATCATTCTTTTCCATTCTGTCTGGCCAGTTCACAGAGGGAAAGAACTATTACTCAGCTGTCATTAAGGTTTCATTAAAGCAGTCAAAATTCCAGGAGAATGTCTATAGATTTCATTTCTCTATCTTCACTGAGTGTACTGAGGACTCATGTTACAAGTATTTTTTCTCTAAAACATTTCCATTTGATTTCTCATTGTATTTGTTCAATTCTCTAGTCATAAGATTTCTTTATATGGGCTACTTAAGTCTGCTGCTCTGGGTTTCTGTTGCTTTTATTTCAAATAAATGGCTTATATGTTCCATCATCTAATATTCATTAGATGAACAGTAGGTGGTGCAGTAGGTGCTAGCCTAACTGAAGAAGCTTACTGATGTTTATATTTCACATTGGAAGTGGAAGCTAGAGACAAGATTTTCTCACTTTAAGCAATTGTGATGGGAGAAAAAAGGTAATTAAGCACTTTGACCCCTTTTTTAAGCTGAATTAAATGCATGTTTTGATAAAAGATTTCTGTACCTCTAATAGTTTAAAAAGTCAGTCTGTGTAATGTAGATGTCAATGTAGAAATTCCTGTTATATTGCAATAATCTGAGGACAATTGTACTACATCCTTAAAATTGGGATGGTCCTAGACAATCTGTGACTGATGGTTACTTTAGTTAGAGAAGACCATCTCCACATCTGTTCTAAGGCTATGTTATCTAAGTGTAGGTAGCTAATTTAGTTTTTTACTGAGTTTCTGTATCTATAGTAGTTCTTTAAGTTAGACTATTATATATATTAAATATATTACAATTGTAAAAAATGAAACTAAAAGTACTAGAAGAAAACATGGAATAACTTTGAAATTCTGAAGTAGGAAAGGCATTTCTAAGCACAACAGTCTAGAAACCCAGAAACTATAGAAAAACAAGATGTGACCTAAAAGTAAACATTTCTGCAAGCCAAAAATAAAGTCAAAAGGCAAACAACAAACTGAAAAGAAAAAAATAAGTGATGGTAAAGTGCTACCTTCCTTAATATATTTTCATTAATATATATATCAGTTTTAATGAAAAAGTCAATAAGAAAAAAAAATCCAGCAACCTGAGAGTCAAACAGGCAAAGACCAAGCATTTCAAACAAAAAGAAAAAAGCTTATAAAATGTATTAATTTTTTTTTTTTTCGAGATGGAGTGTCACTCTTGTTGCCTAGGCTGGAGTGCAATGGTGCAATCTCAGCTCACCACAACCTTCACCTCCCCGATTCAAGCGATTCTCCTGCCTCAACCTCCCAAATAGCTGGGATTACAGGCATGTGCCACCACGCCCGGCTAATTTTTTAAATTTTTAGCAGACGGGGTTTCTCCATCTTGGTCAGTTTGGACTCCAACTCATGACCTCAAGTGATCCACCTGCCTTGGCCTCCCAAAGTGCTGGATTACAGGCATGAGCCACTGCAGCCAGCCTAAAATATTTTTAAATGCTCACTTCTACTCAGCTGAAATAAATGCAAAAAGGATGTGAGAACTATTTTTGAAGGAACTATGAAGACAGTTTGATAGTATGCCACTTTGGAGAGGGACTAGAGAAACAAGCTCTGTTAATACATGGTCAGTACAGCTTCTTTGGAGGTAAACATTTTGGCAACAGCTGTCAACTTTTGGCCTACTTCTCCATATCTAGAAATTTAACCCATTCATATGCTTGCCAAATAAGTAGCAACTTACAAAATACTCGTTAACATTAGTAAACCTATAAATCTAAATTACATCAGTAATCAGTAAGGGAATAGCTGAATAAATGTATGATACATTGATACACTGTAATTCTGTGCAGCATAAAATGAAGGTCAGCTTATGCTTACATAGCTGGATAACTGGTTATCTTTAAGGTTCAGACGAGCTGTATATTCTCCTTTATGATAAGTGTACATGTGAATATAGAAAATTTCTGGAGAAATCATAAGAAATTGCTTTTAAGAGTAAAACTTGGTGGGGGAGGGAAAAATCCTTGCTTAAAATTATCATGTGCATGTATTAGTTTTTCAGTTTAAAAAGAAAAATAGTAGAGACACAGGAAATAGTGGACAGCAGATAGCTATCTCAGATCCAGTCAGGAAGCTAGCATTGGGTATTTGGCTGATGGATGTGAGTACTAAGTTATTTTGGACACTAGAATGAACAGATTTAGCCGGCAACTGAAGATGCATTCAAATTACTAAAGCATAGAAATTATATGTATGCATATATATATATATATATATACACACACACACACACACACATTGTATGTGTGTGAGAGAGAACACAACACTGCTTTTGTGATTTTTTTTTTTTTTTTAGATCAAATCACTCTTTTATGGTTAAAAGCCGGGACTCACTCTGAAGCCAAACTGAGTTAGAATTCCAGCTCCACCACTTAACTTGCTGAAAAACCTTGGGCAAGTTATTTAACTTCTCTGTGCCCTATGTATTCAACTGTGAAAAGGAGATAATCCCACAGCTGAAAATTACATGAATAAATGTAAAGCACCCCCTAAGTACCTGTTACATAATGCACATTAAGTGGTATGCCCCATATCATGTAGTTTCAAGCTTTTCTTACGCCAGAACTAAACTGTCCTGTTTCAGGACCTACTAAAGGTGGCAAGACAGGAGAAAGTAGGAGTAAGAGTGGAAATGAAAGCAGGTAACAGATTCCCTGGAACGGAGTTAATGCCCCTCTAAACTGTTCTTATACTACCTGGTATTGAACTTATGATTGCCTTGGCCATTCTTTCTCCATTTGACTGCTATAAAATGGAGATAAGGGAATGAGCAATTTATGAGTTGGGAATTTACTATCGGAAAACTGACCAATGTTATCTCTTGCAGAAGGTCCTACAGTGTAGGAAAGCAATGAAACAACTTGTACCTGATGGACAAAAATGGGCCAGTATGGATCCAGAGGAGCAAATGTTGGTAGCTGCTACAGCTTTTGCCCACATCTATGCAGGACAGGGTAAAGGAGATGTCAGGAGAGAAGCCCAATCTATCCAATATGATCCTTACAGTAAAGCTTCAGTAGCCCCAGGGAAGCGACCTACTCTTCCTGTGCAACTACAGTACCCACGTGTAGAAAGCAGTATCACTTCAGAAACAGTCTCTGAGGCCTCCCAAAGACTCCGAAAGCCAGTGATGAAGAGAAAGGTGCTGCGTAGAAAGCCAGATGGGGAAGTATTAGTGACAGATGAGTCGATTATCAGTGAATCAGAATCTGGTACAGAAAATGATCAGGGTCTCTGGGACTTAAGACAAAGGCTAATGAATGTGCAGTTCGAGGAAGACAGGGAATCCTCATTTGATATTTCACAAAAACTTAATCCACCATATGAATACCAAGGAATTTCTCAAGATCAGCTCATTTGCTCTCTACAAAAAGAAGGAATGGGCTCTCCAGCTTACGAACAAGACCTGATTGTTGCCAGCAGACCCAAGTCTGTTATTCTCCCAAGGCTGGACCAGTTAAGCCGAAATCGGGGCAAGACAGACCCGGTAGCCCGGTATTTTGAGTACAAACGGGACTGGGACTCAATGCGCTTACCTGGTGAAGATCATAGGAAGGAATTACGCTGGGGTGTCCGAGAGCAGATGCTCTGTCGAGCAGAACCCCAACCCAAACCTCAGCACATATATGTCCCAAACAATTATGTAGTACCAACAGAGAAGAAACGGTCTGCACTCCGTTGGGGTGTTCGTTGTGACCTTGCAAATGGTATCATACCCAGGAAGTTTCCCTTCCCTCATTCTCCTCCTTAAATCTTTTACACTGTCTTCTTTCACAGGATTGTTCGAGATAACCTGGCTCTTTTTATCTTTCCTTTTAAATAGAAACAACTGACTTGAAAAGCTCATAGAACATTTTACAGTAAGGACTTCACCTATCACTGGTCTTTCCTAGCTATATATCACATTGGTATAATATAAAACTTCCAAATTAACACTCAAATCCAGCAATTGCAAGATATATCAGAGAAAGAAAAACAGACCTGGTCTTTCTATTTTCTCAAATTAGTATTTTGCCAATCAGTAAGGGCCCTTTGTGTCCTATAACCTTTTTTAACCTATGGCCAATGTGAGTTTCTGTGCTTTAATGTGTGTTTTTTAAGTTGCTGGGCATTACATTTATCAATTAAAGAATTTTGGAAACTCATTAACTTGAATATTGTTTCATTAAATGCTTCCCTAAGATGATCTTGAACCTGAGCTGTGATGAGAGCTCAAAAGAAGGAACAAAAACCTGCCTTTTACACAGTCCTAAAGGATGGGAGAGAGGTAACAACATAGCCATCATTACTAAAGGTATACAACAAATCCAAGTAGCTTTAAACTACTTTTTAATAAATGCCCCAAAACAGTACCATATAACAAACAGGATTCAGAATTGTTTTATTTCAGAATCATTTCAATAATATTTTGCCTGTCAGCTGTTATTTCTGGAATACGATGCTTTTTATAATTTGCTCCTGAGATTTTTGTAGGAATTATGTGTCACTTGGAAGGCTATTCCTACTCCAGTAGAATTTCAAACAAATAACATCTGGAATCAGATGCAAACATAAATACCTAAATGAATCTAGCCTATTTGGGTGCAAGTCAAAATATGAATTCTGCTCACCTTAAACTGGAATTTATCTGTTCTTGGTATTTCTAACCCAATGGGGACCATGTAAAATCTGAAAGTTGTCAGTTTTAACACTGGAGGCCAGAAAAACGATGGCATAGTTTGCTTGTTCGAGGAGAAAAGCTCTAACATAAACGTGAATGACTGACCCTTACTATCCGTGAAAATCATTTTCCCTATAACATTTAAAGCCACATAATTCACACATTTTCACCTAGTCCTATTTGCTAAGTATCAGGAAAAGAAGTAATCAGTGACTCAGATACACATAGGATATACTCAATGCAAATAAGTAGAAATTGCAAACTGTCTTCCAACAGTGGAATAGTAATGTCTTTAAAGATATTAGAATATTAGTCATTGGGAATCTTGGGAAGGTGAAAATTAGATGACTGTATCATAAACTATACAGCATGATCTCAGTTATACACTCTGTACACACAGAAAGATCAAAACCTAACTCAAGCAGTGGGATTAAAGGTAATTTGTATTTACACATTAGCTTTTTATGAACTCAAAAATTATATGGTGATTTTAACATGCAGAACACTCCAATGATTTATTTAGATCTCAAAGTCCAATATTACCAAAATCAGCCTCCAAAGTTATCTAGTTCAGCCAACCTGCTAGCTAAAGAACTAGGCCAGGGAGTGAGTCTGGGTGGTCTTAAGGCAGATTTGTGGCAAAAACAAGACTTGGTACACTGTAGTGTTTTTTCCAGCACCCTTACCCATCTTCAGGGTAAAGTGCAGTAGTTCCCAAGCAGACGTTTAAGGTAACACCTTGGCCAGGGCTACCAAGTGACCACAAAGAGGGAATTCGTGTGTACCCTAAGCATCAATTACAAACTAAAACAGCCATCACCAGATAGATGTTCCATACATTGGGCCGGGCGCCGTGGCTCACGCCTGTCATTCCAACATTTTGATAGCACAAGACGGGGAGGACCGCTTGAGGCCTGCAGTTCAAGAGCAGCCTGGGGAACACAGCAAGACCGTCTCTTCAAAAAAAAAAAAAAAAAATCTAAAACTAGTCTGCCACGATGGCGTGCGCCAGTAGCCTCAGCTACTCGGAGACTGAGGTGGGGGGATCGCTTGAGCCCAGGAGGTCGAGGCTGCAGTGAGCAGTGATCAAGCCACTGCACTCAGCCTGGGAGACAGTCTCAAAAAAAAAAAAAAGTCAGGAACCAGTAGGTTAACAAAAATAGCATTCCTCTTGATAAAGTTTGTATTAATCCAAAGGGAAGAAGAGGGAGTACTGTCCAAAAGATTCGTGGGCACGCACTCTGATCACTAAAAAGCAAAATAATTCGAAAATTGCTGCCACCGCCTCCTGGGATCTCAACTTCTACCACTGTTTAAGGAGCACCCAGTTCTAAGTGGGGCAGCAGAGCACTTTTGTACACCACAGTCCAAGGGCCACAGAAGCTTCGGTCACAATGGAATTAAAAATGTCCCTACAGCTGCGAGTTTCCGCCGTGAGCTCCAGAAAGCACCAGACACAAAAGAAAGACATGGTCTTAAGCTAGGTCTCATTTCCATACACCAATGCTTTCCTGAAAAGACCAAAGTATATGTAAGAGGGCAAAAAGACAACCGTCCAGCAGTGTGTCCGTTTGTCCCTTCCCCCTGTGGAACCCAGAAATTAACCCACCCCAAAGAGCCCACACTTACTTTCCGGTAAGCGGCCACGCCGCGTTTCCGAGATAGGAAACTGTCACTGTGCGTCTTCTGCGCACGCTCCGGAGGCTTCATGGGAGTGTAGTGCATGGTTGTGGGAAATGTAGTTTTGAGAACCGAGCTTGGTGCTAGAATTCACCTCAGGTTTTCTAGTACAGCTATCGTTTCTCCACCCACAAGGGAGAATCTGGGCCTGTGGCAGGACAGCAATAAAAGAAGGAATTCTAGCGCTACGATATAATAAAAGAATGGAGATAATTTTTCAAATGTCTGCTATCCTTACACGGAAACTAAAAGATTGCAGATCTTGGCTCGATTTTGTACCTACTTAAATAAGAAAGTTGCCACTGAGAGACTAAAACACTACTGGAATCTAAATTAAAAGCTGAAATGAATATGATAATCTCAAAACAAGCGACTAAGTGCCCTGAGAGTGACCGATCACAGCTGGGGAGCGTTGCTTCAGCACCACGGAGAGATCATGACTGCAGTTTCGTTTATGGGTTTTTGCATTTTTGCCCCCAATTCCAGAAATGCTGACCCAAATCTCAAAATTACAGTTAGAATAATTGGGGGGAGGAAGGAGGTGGAATTTGGTTCTTTCGTCCAAATTGAGCAGTCATTAAGTCATTGGTAGCAGGGATCCAGGGATCTATCCCGGATTATGCACACGCATGTAGGACGTAGAGGTTATACCGAATGTAAATGTTTTTAACATGAGACCACATTTCGGAATAAAAGTTTTTTTGTTTTTGTTTTGGTTTGGTTTTTTTTTTTGAGACGGAGTTTCGCTCTTGTTACCCAGGCTGGAGTGCAATGGCGCGATCTCGGCTCACCGCAACCTCCGCCTCCTGGGTTCAGGCAATTCTCCTGCCTCAGCCTCCTGAGTAGCTGGGATTACAGGCACGCGCCACCATGCCCAGCTAATTTTTTGTATCTTTAGTAGAGACGGGGTTTCACCATGTTGACCAGAATGGTCTCGATATCTTGACCTCGTGATCCGCCCGCCTCGGCCTCCCAAAGCGGAATCAAAGTTTTAAAACGCTTATGTGGAACATCACAGGAACCGCAGTTAGAAGTTGAACAGCTCTGCTTCCTTTCCGCAACGGTAGCATTCGAGGTCATTCGTCATATCAAATTCATCAGATTTTGTCCTCACTTTCCTAAGCAATTCGCTAACCTTTCTGATATCCTGTGATGCGAAGGCGGAAATTTCCAGGGAAACGGGCAGGGGGTTAAAGTGCTGTGGGGAGTCCAGGGAGCTCCCGCCTGGAGTGCTGTGTGCGCGGCAGGACGCAGGCGAGGGCGCTCTCCACTCAGGGCGGAGGCTGCAGCCGCTCGCAACCGGCTCAGCAGAAGCCAGACGCCTCAGGAGAGGCAGACCAAAACCGCGCGCAGCGACACAGCACTGCCCTCCTCCGGCCGCGCCCAGGCCGCCAGCTCTCCACGCCCCCTTCATACCCACTCCAACCCCTCCTTCACACCCCCTCCACGCCCCCTGTGCCGCTCCGCGTACCGCGTACCGCGTCCCCTCCCGCTCGGCGTCCCGCGCCCCCTCCGCCCTCCGAGGGCCTCACCCCGCCCTCCAGCGCCTGCGCGCCGCACCGCGGTGGTCGCGGGCGCGGACGCCTGCCCCCTGAGGAAGCCCATTGGCCAGCGGATGGGGCCAGCACCGCCTCGCGCCTGTGGTAAAAGCACGTGCTGGGGGCGGTAGCAGCGATCGCAGCCATGGCGTCGTTACGGTGGGGAGGAGACGCGGGGGCGGCGGAGAGCGAGCGGCTGAACAGCCACGTAACCGCCACCGAGCCGGGGGACATAGCCGCGGGGGTGGAGCGCCCACTCGCAGAGGGAGATTAGCTGGGAGGGGAGGGAGAGCCCGCGAGCGTTCGAAGTAGGGTGTCAGATGCTGGAGGGGAGATGTGGGAAGGGTTTGGAAAAGGGCCAGAGAAGGAGACCCCGTCCCCACCCCCACGAGAGGCAAGACCTTTGGTTGGAAAGGGCAAAATGAAGACCCCTGGAAATCCAGGGTGGGAACGCAGCTGGTAGTCCCAGTTAGATCCTGAGTTTTCTACTCTGCCTATTGGATCATTAAGCCTCAGCTCGCTTCCATCCATCTGCCAGCGCACTTTCCTTAGCCACTCTGCCCTGGTTGGTGCTGTGAACCCCAAGTACTGCCCAACTCTAAACTAGAGGCCTAGGAAGGAGAAATTCATGTATAGGGAATACAGAAAATCAGAAAATCTCCAATTTTAGGATAATTCATACAGGAGACCCAACTCCGAAAGGAATCTGCTGCTACCTAGTATTGCAAAGGAAACAGTACCCGGGTTTCCTTCCCTGAATCCCGTCCAGCCCCTGTGGTAGGGAAGCACTGAGCTGCTTGAGGGCTTGCATCTTAATATTGGTTGAAATTTGTGTCTCTCAATAGTTTTCAAACCTCAACCACCCCCGGAATAACCTTCGGGGTACCAAGAGTACTACAGTCCGAAACATAGGTGAGTGCTGTTAGAGCAAAGCAGAGTGGCCTCAATGAATTAAAAATTATTGCTTTGCATTTATCACATCCTTGCCAAGTGAAATACCCTTGTTCTTTAGTGTAACATTCAACGCTCTCCATTACCTTCCCTATCATTTTATCCACTCCTCCATGAAGTAACTGTTCTTGCCAGTAGACACTGAAGAGTCAGGAAGAAAAAAATTGAATAATATGTTTGTCTTTACATGTATTGTTTCTCTTCCATCCTTTCCAGGTGGTTCTATTAATAATATCGAAGAAGATGATGAAGAAGATGTAGGTAGGAGATAAATTCATCTGCGTGTATCTACTAGCATTCTTTTTCCACTTATAACTTTAATAGTGTGAGTGAATAATATAATCTCAATTGGAAAAGGCCTGTCTTTGCTTCTGTTTTCTTATAGTGACTATCAGGAGACATACTAAATTATGAGTAGGTTGTATTTGTTTAAAGGAGGTTGATATGGAATATGCAGGGATTGATTGGGTTAAGAATTTCCAGCTGTCAATAATTTGCTTTCATGGAGATGGATTTGGGCTACTTTGAAGTTAGAGGATGGTGAATTACCAGTGCGTAAGAAACTGAATCTTCATAAAGAAGGGATTCTCAGTGCCATCTCATTCTTTCTGGAACCTTCTTTTAGAGGAAAGATGAGTATAGGTGCAATTGCTTGATATACAACCACTGAAAGAGGAAGAGCAACTTACTTGATGTTATTCAGGAAGCTTGATGTCCTCTTTTTTATTTTTGCTTTTCTAGTGGATTTGGCAGCCAATTCACTCTTAAACAAGTTAATCCGTCAATCCTTAGTAGAATCCAGTCACCACGTGGAAGTTTTACAGAAGGATCCCAGCTCTCCACTTTACTCAGTAAAAACATTTGAAGAGCTGCGGCTGTGAGTATTTTTACTCTTTTAATATGGGGAAAATGCTGAAAGGCACAGAACAAATGATTCTGCTTATAATAAAAACAATCAGGCTCTCCTCTTTGTTTTCTGGTATTAATATTTTGTTTTTGTTTTTTGAGACAGAGTCTCACTCTGTCATCCAGGCTGGAGTGCAGTGGCACAATCTCGGCTCACTGCACCTCCGCCTTGCAAGTTCAAACAATTCTCCTGCCTCAGCCACCCGAGGAGCTGGGACTATAGGCCTGTGCCACCACGCCCAGTTAATTTTTGTTTTAATATTCAGTATTAAAGTGAGATTTGTACATTTTCCATGTACATTTGATTTTTCAATCAAAATATAGCTCAGGCCGGATGCAGTAGCTCATGCCTATAATCTCAACAATTTGAGAGGCCTAGGAGGACAAATCACCTGCCCTGAGGTCAGGAGTTTGAGACCAGCCTGGCAGACATGGAGAAACCCCGTCTCTACTAAAAATATAAAAATTAGCCAGCCTGGTAGCACCTGCCTGTAATTCCAACTATTCAGGAGGCTGACACAGGAGAATCACTTGAACCCAGAAGACAGAGATTGCAGTGAGCCGAGATCACACCATTGCACTCTAGCCTGGGTGAAAGAATGGGACTCCCACTCAAAAAATGTGTGTGTGTGTGTATGTATCTTTTTTAAAGGTGTTCTAAAGAAGAACATTAGGATACCTAAGTTCCCTGGTAAATTGTGAACATTTTTGATAGTAAGATACTTTCCTCCTGCAGTGCTCAGGGAATAGATAGCTAAGCTAGGCACAGCCAGATTGCCACTCTCCGTATCAGAACGCAGATTCTGATGACCCAGACATCCTCCTCCCCCCACTGTAGATAAATTACAAGCTTTTACTTTCCTGATTATATTTTGTTTCAAATGATATTAAACTGAATAACTTTCCCAAATGGGTTTGCATTCCCTAAGTATTTATCATTTGACCCTTTTTAAAAAAGTATTTGAACAGAAAGAAAAGTACTGAAACCTACTTATGTAAAGGGTAAAAATCCAAAATCCTATCGCCCAGACATTTGCTGAATAGTAGAAGAAGCCTACCCATGATTTAAGATGGGCTGTCAGTCATCTACCAATTAAACACACATAAATGTGCATGTCTTAAAGGTGGATGTGTTCCAGCCCACTTGCTTTATCCTCATTCTGTCATTTTTCTTAAGAATCTCAGGAAAGCTGTATTTTAAAATATTGCCTCAGAAAGATAAAGTAATATTGTGTCTTCTACTCCTAGAAAGAACTGATGTAAGAATTGCCTAAGTAAAAATTTGTCTTCTTTGAAAATTACTGTTAAAAACATCAATATCATTCGTGAAAAGGAACTAAACCGTAAATGTCACTTAGTTTTCTGCTTAGGCAGAAAATATAACTCTTGGCAAACAGATATATTCTTTTTATCGGATGAGGTTTTCCTATTTTGCTTTGCTCAACAGAAGGTTCAGCTTAAGGCCTTTACCACTGTCCTTCACCTAGGCTTATGGCATAGCTTGTTATTTTAGTGGTCCACCTCTGCAGGCATGATTGTTTGTTTGGAAGTTGAGGTATGAATGATATATTTTAGAAATGCACCTTTTGGGTCTATATTTCTGATGCTACTGACAGACTATGATAAGCTGTGTTTGATTTTTTTTTTTTTTTTTACCAGAAAGGAAGAGTTACTAAAAGGAATCTATGCAATGGGCTTTAACAGACCATCCAAAATCCAAGAGATGGCTCTCCCTATGATGCTGGCACATCCGTGAGTTTCCAGGGTAGTGGTATTCTCGCTTGGTTATGTTTAGTTTCTTATTTTCAGTTTATGTCCACACTCTTGTATTCAGTTTATGCCCAGTGGTCTTCTCGTTTCTACAGACCCCAGAACCTCATAGCACAGAGCCAGTCTGGAACAGGAAAGACAGCTGCATTTGTATTGGCAATGTTAAGCAGAGTTAATGCCTTGGAATTGTTCCCACAGGTAAGGGAATGCTTGCAGTGCCAGTGCTATTTTAGTAACAGGCGATGTTCCTGGGCAATGATATGGTTACTACCGTGATATGACAATATTTAGGAAAGACATGTTTTCATAAAATCATAGAGCAGTGGGCAGCAGTATGGGACAGTGATGGAGAGGACAAGCTTTTTAGTCTGGTTTCAATCCTAGCCTCCCCAGTTACTCACTAAATGTCTTAGGCAAGTTAGTAAATCTGAGTCTTAATCCTTGTCTGTAAAGATAGCATCTGAAAAGGAATGTATTATAGTTGATCTGTTCACCCTTAAATCCTAATGCCTAGCACAGTGCCTGACATGTAGAAACCACTCATTAAATATTGAATAAAGTCATGTGGATTTAGTAATTTACATTTTTGGAACAGTCCCTGGCATAAATTAAGCATGCAATAGTTATAGCCATCTAGATACAGGACCAGAAGATCATGCAGTCCACCTCACTTTAGCAGAGGAGAAGGCTGATGCTTGGAGAGGGAAGTGTCTTTCTAGAGGTCCCCAGAGAGTGACTGAGTCAAGACTGGCACTGGCACCCGGTTTACCATTCTCCTAGTGTAGTTTCCACTCATGAAAAGTATCTGGTCATCTCTCCCTGTTTGCTTGACAAGCTGAGTACCTGTATCCATTAAGTGCTATGGGGAACACCAGGGTTCTCTCAGTAAGCTCCCACTCTGATCAGCCAGGTCAGCATAGATATAGAAAATCTTGTGCATTTTAGACAAGGTCAGTGAAATTTATGTTTAGGGTTTGATATTATCAATAAAAACTATATAGGATAAGTTATGCTTGAGCACATTTTGAAAACTGTGGGTGAAAGGTATTTTTAGCAGTTTGTCTATGTTTTTCTATGACAGATTCCTAATTGACGCATATAGGTGCATTAGACATCACCATTTTTTTCCATCAGCATCTTTTTTCATCAGCAACTGCCATTTTTATGGAGTATAGAATAA